GTTTAAGAGTTTTTAAGAGTTTAAGAGTTTTAAGAGTTTTTAAGAGTTTTAGCCAAATACTTTATAATATAGTATAGATTTTTAAGTTTAAAATAAAACAACAGAAACACACTCATATAACCCATTGGACTCGACACTAACACCTGGACTAGTGGTATTGGGTCGTCCTAACCGGGAATCAAATAACCATCAACCTCGTTTCTTTGCTAAGGGGCTGTTGAATGATTTGGTTCAAAATGAATATTGATTCTAGTTGTTATGAGACTTTATTCGTGTTTTTTATTGTGTATTGAATCAATTGACGTATTTCAATAGAATGTGTTAAAAATAGATGGTAGTTTACAAATGGTTTAAATGATTGGATATTTTAGTTAAATTTAATTGAAATGAATTGATTCAGATTTCAAATTTCGGACGTTTGTCGGTTTACAAAAACAAACAGTCTTATTGATTCAGATTTCAGAAGTAAAAACAAACAGTCTGACTGATTCAGATTTCAGACATAAAAACAAATAGTCTGACTGATTCAGATTTTAGACTTCAGCACCACCTCTTAAAAATCAAAAGTGAAATCAGAATTCAAACTTCAGCACCTCTTAAAAAACAAATGTCACCCAAGTGATCAGAATGATTAAGAGGCTCTCATGATATAGTGCAAAATAAAATATAATTGTTTAGTAATTGTTTACAATAAATTAGGGCATTGAATTGTTAAGGGAGGCATATGATATAAAATCATTAAGAAGATTTTGAACCATTAAGAGACATTTTTTTTTTTGCCAAACAAAATTCACCTTTTAAGGATTCATATGTTGCTTCTTAATTGAACTATTAAGAGGTAAACAAAAGTGTACCTATAATTTTGAAAAAAAAAACTATTGGTTATTATTTGTATTTTTAAAGTTTTTATTCGATTTATTTATGGTGAATCATACTATATATACATGACTGAAATTTATAAAGTTGCAAAATAAATTATATATAATTTTTTTTAAATAACAAGACATATTATCTTTTAAATTTCTTTATTTAAATTTTGTTTTATGTATAATAAAATAAATTAATCAATTTTTTTAAGTTTTTGAATATTCAAAAAGCAGCCCATCAGTTCTTCATCAACCTTTAAAATAATAACTCATCAAAATTTCAAATATAAATAGTTTAGATCGAATAAGCCTTTCTGAAATAAATACCCAGCCGCTTGTGAACTACTGGACTTTCGCCATCTAGGGTGCAATATTCTACTGTTATTCCAAAACTTTCGTATGTTCTCAGTTATTAGTCATTAGAGGGATCTTTCCTAACAAAATTGTAAAAGTAATTCATAATTATCCGGTTATGATCGATCTAAACCACCCCCAATGATTAGGGCTGTAAACGAACCGAACGAACACGAACGAATGCTTGTTCATGTTCGTTCGTTTAACTTAACCGAACAAACGAACGAACACGAACGGTAAACGAACAAAAATCTTTGTGTTCGTGTTCGTTCGTTTAGAAATAAGGTATGTTCGTGTTCGTTTATGTTCGTTCGTTAACATGCTAAACGAACGTAAACGAACGAACATAAACGAACGGGCTAAACGAACATAAACGAACACGTTAAATAAACATAAATAAATATTATTTGAATTCAAAGTAAATAAATAAAAGATTATATATTAAATTTAATATATAAACGAACATAAACGAACGAATATAAACGAATGTAAACGAACGTTCATGAACATAAATGAACGAACGAGACTCTTGTTCATGTTCGATCGTTTAACTAAACAAAAAAAAAATTGTTCATGTTCGTTCATTTATTAAATAAACGAACATAAATGAACTTCCCGCCGAACGGTTCACGAACAGTTCGTTGAACGTTCGGTTCGTTTACAACCCTACCAATGATGGCAACTAAACACGAGGGTTGCGCTCGTTGCAGGACTTAACCCTACTTCATTTATGAAATTCATAATAATATGGTAATCAAACTTTACCATTAAACTATACAATCTTGAAACTTGAAAAAAAATATACCCAACAAATATTAGCTCCCCCTGAAAAGAGGGATCAAAATCAAATTTTCATTCGGCACCAACAAGTGATATTAGAGTAGTCGGATAAGCACTTACCTGCAAAAGTAACTACTGTGATCCACAAAATGCTACTCTTTGTAAGCAATGAAAATAACAAAAATACACACTATGATACATTTCATAAAACAAAGAAAATACATTGTGATACACGTGAAACATTGTGAACATTATCACTATGATGCACTTTGATTCACAAACGTCTTTAAAATACAATGTATATTAGGTAACTAATTTTAATTAAATTTTTCCTTCTAAAAAATTTAATTAAATATTTTGATTAGTTGTCAAAAATATAATTACCATATTATTATCCTTTTAGCTTATTTAAAAAATATTCTTAAATGTCTCAAACAAGTAGTTCACATTGGATCTCACAGCTACCACAAACAAATCAGTTCTCTCTTGAATGAGCCCCCCCCCACACATATATATTCTACGTCATTCTCATTATCATTGTCATAATTATTATTATCGTTATTATTTTTCCAACGAATTTTCTATAGCGGACAAAAATTTCTTCCTCCCAAACCTTTCGAAATTAGACGGAGCAAGACTGGAAAGTAACGCATAAACAGGAAGTGGGTTTGGTGACGAGGTGCATTTCCCGTCCTGTTTCAATCCCTACAAAGTAGAGGCAATCATTTTGTGGGCTTGAGTTGGATACACGTCAAAATGAACCGGTTTTTTTATTTGATGGATCTAACATAGCAAACCTGAACCCTTTTTACGTGTTTGTAACTTACCCTTATGCACCCTATAAACGAGCCCTGCTTGCCAGCATATTAGCGAGTCTAAAAAGTAGTTTCTATAAAAGAACCTATGCAAAATCATTCAATATACACAATATTCTTTCCAACTTGAAATAACTTTCCAGCAGGCGAGACAAATGTCTATTCTACCTCTGTCAACTACCTCTTTATTTTAGATTTTTATCACTCTTTTTCCATCAACGACTGCCACGTGAAAGCTCTAAGTCATGAAGTCAAGCCAGCAAGAAAGTCCGAAAGTTAGAAGGTACGGTTTCATCATCCTAAGCTACCTCACCTCACTAAGTCCAGCCACGAAATAATTTGATCTATGGACAACATCATTGTGGTAAAGGTCGTAATGCCAGAGGAATCATTACTGCAGGGCATAGAGGGAGAGGTCATAAGCGTCTATACCGTAAAATAGATTTTTGACGGAATGAAAAGACATATATGGTAGAATCGTAACCATAGAATACGACCCGAATCGAAATGCATACATTTGTCTCATACGTTATAGGGATGGTAGAGTATGAAAATTTCTTCTTCAAGAACCAAATATTAGAATATATAGAAAAAGTACTTTAGTGTATATAACGGTTATTCAGGGGATGTTTATCCAAATGCTTACCTATAGGAGTCAACACTATAATTTACTTTGATGCGTAAGATTTTAGTACATCAAAACGTATCGAATGCAACAATTTACCGGATAAGCACTTACCTAGGTAAGAGTCGTTATCTTCACTTACGGGATAAGACTCTACATCCTTCTCAGTTCTCATCGCTTTTACCCAGTAAGATTCTTGACCCTTGTCATGTTCATCCGATGAGGAAATTCATCCGACAAGCACTTACCAAACAAGCGTTTAGTAAACGGCCCCTTAGTAACCAAAGCATCATTAGTCTACCGGTACCTGAATTAGCGGTAAAGCCTAACTTATTGGAGATTATGGATTCAAAGCTCATTAAAGATGAAGAATGTGTATGAGTATTTGCAATCTACACATGTTATATATACTTCCAAAAAACATTTATTTGGTAGTTTTATTTAATAATCCATATACATATTCAAATAGATTTTTGTGGACATTTTAATGATTCATATATGAACCTTTTTTTAACCTTTTATTTTTATTTTCTCATAATATTTAGCGTTCTTATTTGAAGGGTTGAGTTTCCGATGATAATAAAAGTTATGGTGAGAAGGGTAAGAAGAAATCTCCACCCTTGGATCAGTCTTAATTGAAGAGATCAACACTAATGAAATACATAGATCAATTCCCTTCTAAAACACAAATAAAGGGTTGTTTTGGCATTAGAAGCGATCAAATGTCCAAATCTCTTCTTACAAATCTTATCGTAAGAAAGGATTCTCATCTTTAAATCAATCAAAAAGTGATGAGATGTACCAAATCAATTCTTGTATCAAACGCAATTCATAGAACGAGAGTGGGATTAAAAAGGACCAGGATCCAGATCTCTTCCTATGCTTCTAATCTTAACTTCTTATTAACAATTTGACACCGGTATAAACTATATATCTAAACATTCAAAAGTGTTTTTTACCGATGTCAGACTGAAATAAGCCAATAAATTATTTTTATAAGCAATTACAAACACCCCTAATATTTAACTCCTGATGATGTTATTGAATCAAACTAGAGGGACTTATATGCAATTGTTTGCAAGTTAGAAAAGAAACCACAAAGAATAACCCCCAGGGTTCAACGAAAGACTCCTTTCCAACAAAATCATGTAAGCGTGTAGACGGTGTTCGAAGTAATTCAGAGGAGAAGGAGAAGAGCAATTGTTCTCTGGGAAGGTCTCCTCATCAATGGCGTCGACCAAATCTAAAACATCGGGTTCAAAGAAATTCTCAGATAACTCAGGTGTTAACAAAAAAGTGTGGTTCTATTCTTTGTTGCTCACCATTCAATATGGTGCTCAGCCTCTGATCTCCAAACGTTGTATCGGGTAAAATTTTCTCTAAGAAGTCACTCTTGCTATATGATCGTTGAGATTTTGCTATTCAACTTGGATACCTTTGGATATGACTGATTCAGTATTGGTTCTAGTTTGGGCATTTTCATTAACTTAAGCCGTGAATTAAGGCGTGATTACAAAATTGATGTAGAAATCTTCCAGAACATTTACAGTAGTGTAAGTTCTGCAAATTTATTTAAGACGATATGATAACTTTTTATGTTGAGGATACCTAATCATGACTTGTAACGTGTACACAGTAGCTTCTGTAATTGCATAGTACACAGTTCACGGCATGTTTGTTGCTATTCCTATTGGTGCTTCTGTGATAGGATTGGGGTTATGGTGACAAGAATTCCCAGATTAGTTGTTGTATTGCCTTTACGACTAAGTAATGATATATATATATATATATATATATATACACACACACACACACACACTTTTTTGATGGTGGACTGGTAATCTACTGATGTTAGTAATCTTACTTTGAAAGTCATCATTTAGATTAAACCAGGTACATGTGGAGGATATAGTTGGGGTTGGAAGAGCTAATGGAAGCCTTTTTCTAGGGGCAGCTTGGATGAGCTATCAATATGCGAAGGTTTATAAAATCCAGGAAAATTCAGTAGTCAAGGAACAATGATTCACTTGAAATTGTACAAGACTTATTAAGGAGTGTATTTTATGTCCTAGAATGGTAACTTTATCATCTTGACATTTGATTGATTTAGATTCAGGTAGGAACTATCCTTAGTTTAGAAGTCCATCAACTAATTTGAAGTCAGATTGCATCATTCCTCCAAAGCTAGAGATGAGTCAGAGATTATATAAGTGCACAAGGTTCTAAAAGTAGAACTTAGTCATTTTGAGGATTACAAAGTTCTAAAGATGAGGCAAATGTATACATTGAACTCAACTGGGGACTTCTCTTCGTACCTTGTGAGAGATCAAGTCTAAAATATGAATATTAAACCCATGCAAGAATTTACGTATGTGTGTGTATATGTATGAATTTATTAAATGATATTTCATGTTATATATGTATAAGCACATGTACAAAACGTAAACGTATGTATGTGAGACAACAAGCGTTCCATGAAGCTAAGCAATACATAACATGTAACACTTTATTACACGCAATATTGATAATTGTAACCATCCATGAACAAACTTGCAAACACACACAAGGGATATAATTCCAAAGGCTAGGATATGGTAGACTCATAATAGAAACTAATTTTTAAAAACTTCGGATTTGTAAAAGAAAAAAAGTTATGGGAGAGTCAGTGCACTGAAAGAGCAGTGAGATCTAGTCATTTACGTCCTAAATATTCATTTTGGTATAAGGCTCGGTTGTGGAACTAGGGCATTCAATAGTCTACATTAGACTTTGTTTTGGAGTTGCCCAAATTAATAAATCATTGTGGGAAGTGTTGTCTCTATTTCTCCTAAACTAATGCCAGCCTCAACCTTCTCTTATATATCTTCATTTGTAATCCTGCCCTTGATGTGTGGTCACTCATCCTAGAGGCGGATCCAGAATATTTTCGCAATAGGAGCACAAAATAATTAACATATTATGAAATAAAACAAATATTAATTATAAAAAGTACAATTTAATTAAATATGATATAGAAGATGTTTTTTTGCAGCACTGAAGTGGTTTTTTCTTTCTTTTCTGCTGTTGTTACCTAGAAATTAAAATACGAGTCAAAAGGATTTGAACTTGCAATCCATACTACCACATGCAATGACACTACTAGTAGGCTGGAATCACTTTTTTTGTAACTTAAGAGAGCACACATCAAATTAAAGTGGGTGCACCTTTAAGACCCCTGATTTTTTTCATTGTGTGGGACGGTAGAGCAGGGGCATGGGCACCTCTAGCCCATTATTAAACCACCCCTAACTCATCCCATTTAATGTTCACAGATTTGCTATAGTCATCTTGTGTGCATGTTGTCTTCGGGTGGCACAAACATATGGTCTAAGTCTTAACAATGTTCTATTAGATTTATCTTTTGTGCCTGGCAACACTTTTGGATCATGTAAAGTTGCTGAACTTATATTCATTTCATCACACTCGTCCATATGACACAATCATCATTAATTTCCCCTCAAGCTTCTACACTAATTTCAATAGCAAACAATGCCCTCCTCACTATCTCCCGTTTGACATTCTTACCATTACCGCATCTTCCACTACTCTTTTAACACCAATAAAGCTGCACTAGACGTATTCCCTAGTAGTCTAATTTAAAAACCTTTAAATTATGTGCGTATAAGAAGCGTTACAGTAATGCATTGTTTGGTCTCATCAATCGAAACGAGATCCTAGAAAACTATATATCGTTGTTTCTTATGTTCATTTCATCCTTAAACTATGCAAAAATATAAGGCTTCAAAGTCATCCTTAGTGCACAATTATGGTGGCAAGGGAAGTTTGTCTTGGTAACATCTTGTCGTTCTCATTGATAGACTAACTTATGCATTATAATCACATTAACATATATAGCATGAACATTCTTCTTCTCTAGAACTCGCACAATTCTTTAAACTTACTTTGTGCACTGTGTAGGTCAATAAACACCATAATGCTGAAAATAACTGCTATGGGTGATTGATCTCCTTTTCATGAAACACATAATTATTCTCACATGTTGGTGTCAACCCTCAACCTATACTTCTGTTGACAACCTTTCACTAATCTCGATGTTTTTATGTTTACTATTCACTTAAAGCAAAGTAAGCATTTATAACATCCCTTTGTGTTAACAACATTTGTACCAATTCCACTATAGGCACATCTTTTTCTGCATCCTATTAGATTTCTTTTTGATATACCAATCCCCTTAATTATCCATCCGATTGTTAAACAAATTAAATTATATTCTTCAATGTTCAAAACGCCTAGTTCCTTGTTGTTTTGTTCCCTTGCTTTGTCTGAAGCTATGCCTAAGGTAGATGTTTGCTACTAATATTTATATGTTATGTCATTCTGTTCACAAATTTGCATGATGCTTGATCCCGTTTCCTCTGTATGGTTTAGAGTTTTAACCACTCGTAATAGTTATGGTTTAGGAGTAACCTTTCTTAAAGAAAATGTTTACAGCTATCAATTCACTAACAGCCACCAAAGATAAGCTTTCCTCCTTGTGTTTCGTTGAATACCAATAACCTCCATGACATTAATATCTCCTATAAAGCGATCTTCACTAATCAGTATCCTTGAATGATTTTTTCTATGTACTCCTTGGATAATCTTTTACCATTCATGCTAGAGGGGCATATACTCTAGTTACATTCATAACCACATCCCCACCACTAGTTTGTCTAATATGATTTTATGCCGTCGCTTAGGGTCTTTTCTATTATAATACTTGTCCCATTTCCAGTCTTATCCTTCCGTTAGGACCATACTTTAAACTTGTTACTTCGATTTCACTACATTCTCCACCCCTACTTCATTTTTGAGATGCATGCAATATTTTTGGTCACCTTCTAATTAGGGTATCAACTAATCTACTTCCTTGTTACCAACCCTTCATTACAGTTCGTTGGTACCTAGTTATATTATACCATGTTGGACTAGCTTCCTTACCCCTGTGCCCCTCTACTAAGTTGTGCAGACCCTTGCCCATTATCATCGTACGCCAACCTCAGTATGTATTGTAAACAAGGGAATGAAGATCCACCCAAGCCCGTTCCTGATATTTTGTAGGCCCGGAATGTATGTAAAAGAATGGTCCTCGACAAGTATGAAAAAGATCTTCAATAAATGGCTTCTATCATCAAAAATTAAATTGAATACAAGGAATGCTAATAATTCATATAAAACAACAGAATGGTCCTCGACAAGTATGAAAAAGATCTTCAATAAATGGCTTCTATCATCAAAAATTAAATTGAATACAAGGAATGCTAATAATTCATATAAAACAACATAATCAATTATGCAAACGACATAACCAAATAATGATAGCCAATAGAACCAGAAGCAATCAAGTGGACAACCAAAGCAATTAGAAATAGACAAGAGAAGCAGAAGTGGATAAAAATAGTCTACAGAAGCAGATAGCAATAGCAAGCTCATGAGCTTAAAGGTTAACACTTAAAGTAGTTGTTCACTAGATTATTTAAAAATAGAGCTTCAATAAGTTGTACTTATGCAAAATTACTTGTAATCTTGAATTTTAAGTAATATGCGTTAATAAACAGTACTTTATGCATAAAAAATGATTTTTAAGAGTTTTTGTCAAATGTTTTATGATATAGTGTGTATATATATATATATATATATATATATATATATGAAGTCTGAAAGTCCAACTGTCTTATGTTTAGGATCATTTTTTAATGTGACTTGTTTGCTTTTGACTCCAAGTCTCTTACATATTTGTTAACACCCCCTGCACATTAGTTTCTTATTGATTAGTTTACTTTCCTATATATTCAAAGTTTTTACACGAGTACCTAATAATTCTATGAGCCCTAGACATTTACATGGAAGATGGTGAAATTATAAAAATACTTCCCAACTTAAAATTATATTTGGAAGACTACTAATTGTTTTCCGTCAATTTGGAGTTGTTTTGATCAAGTGTAGGCGAGCTGTAACAACTCTCCAAACAAAACACCATTCTAACCCAAACATGTATATAACATAACACAAGTTCCAATACATATAATAGATCAATCAAAACTATACATATAAACAATGAATCTGATCTCATTCAAATACTGATCTAACAGAATAAAAAAATAAGTCAACTGCCTATCACATTTTCCCCTTGCCTTTATTTTCTGACCTGAGCTGACCTGCAAAAATACATTTTACAACAACTGAGGGTTAGACCGAAAGGTGTAGTGAGTGAATTCTCCCGTATAACATTTTACACATTCATAAAAATGTAATAATAAATTCAATCCAGAGATTAGCTGTTAAAATTGTTATAACTGTCCTGCCATCCATCACAGATAAATCTGCC